CCCCACTCTGTTTCTGGTGAATCCTCTCACCCTCCGCATCTCTGGCCTGTACCCCAGTTCTGTACGAATAAATAAATAAATCTAAAAAAATAAATAAGAATTTCTGAAAATTATAAGTCAAAGAATTGACAGTTCACAGGGACCTAGAAACAGTGTAGTTTCAGCCAGAGGGAATGATAAGATCTTACTTGCTATGTAGACCATTCAGTGACGAATAAGAAAGGTCAGAGCTTGGTGGTGGAGCTCACCTAGCTCTACAATAGGGCTACAGGTCTGCCCTTATAAACCTTAGAACTCAAATCTAATCACCAAATATTGTTTAAACAATGTAAACCTACTATGTACAGTATCCAAAACCAAATAGATACAAAAATCAAATTCTTCCCTACATACCAGAGATACACAATTGAAATTTAAACATTAAAAATCAGATAGACACTTTAAAGTGGTATTCAAAAAACCCCTTTTGTGTAAATCTAAACCCCTTCTGTTTAACTCTAAATCAGAGTAGGCTATGTGACTCCTGACTGAGTCACAGGAGCTCTTAATCTAACAAAATAGTGACACGCTTTACAGATGAAAACAATGAATGAAAAAACTCAAATAAGATCTAATTAAATGGAAAGCATATTCCATGTATAAAAGTTGAAAGTCTCAATATTAACAATATGTCAACTCTTCTGAACTCATTCTATAGATTCAAACATAATCCCAGTCACATTCCCAATGTCTTCTGCACTAGAGGTAGTCCAGCACGGTAACTTTTGTCAGTTCTAAGCATGGAAAAAAAATATGAGCATGTGTATGTGCTCAGAGTAAAGGTTTTTTGTTTTCTAGGTCAAAGAAAAGACTCACAGCTGACACTTCTCCCTCCTCTCTCCTCCCTTACTCCACAGAAGGCAAATGTGATGGTTAGAACCGGCAGCCATTTCACTGCCTTGAGGGCAATAAATTGCAGTGGCATCTCACTTAACATCCTGGCACTGTAAGCGGAGACCCATACACCTACCTATAAACCTTTTATAGCCGAAAGGTTACTCTTGTTGGTTTAATCATTGTCTGTGCTATTTTCTGCTAACTTGAGGCCTGATGCTTTCTAACTGCTTCTGAAGAAGTATATACTTTTGGGGGAGGAAGTGACCCCCTCCAGTGCCAAGATTTTTCATTATTGTACATGTACCTCCTTGGCAAGAATGATGGCTCAAGCATGGTGTTTCCCCCAAATTTTTCTAACTAGGCTCGCAGTTCGGCTTCTCTGACTTTAAGTACAATAGATAAACCTGGAATTCCCTGAGGAGTCAGTTAGCTTAAGAGAATACACGAACAAAACAAACCCTAGGGGGAAAGACACAGCTCTTGGAGAGCTTTTTTTCAGTTAGGTTATATAAGTTAAAAACAATTCACGGCCCTCCCTGGTGGCGCAGAGAGTTAAAGCACAGCACTGAGAAACTAAAGCCACTTCCGCATGAGTTCGATCCCCGCCTGCCCCGGAGGTGACCACATGGTGTGGCAGACCTCTCCTGACCCGCCCGCTGCTCCCCTCAGCAGTGTACTTCGTCGATCTGCCTGTTCTGCTCCCCACTCTGTCTCTGGTGAAGCCTCTCACCCTCTGCATCTCTGGCCTGTACCCCAGTTCTGTATGAATAAATAATAAAAAAAATCTTTAAAAAAAAAACAATTCACACTCAGTTTCTATTACTTGCAATCCAAAAGTCCAAGCAAATACAACTAAAAAAAATTTTTTATTGTAATGAGAGGAATAAAGGAAGGAAAGGTGCTATGAAAAAGAATAAGGCAGTAGTTAGGGAGGACTTTGGAAAAAAACAACTGTTAAGAGGAGCCCTAACAAACAAACAAATTACAACACATCTACCTCCATCTCACCCATCCCCAACAGGAAATGAGTATTCCACACACAGCAGAGAAGGATTCCCCTGGAAAAGGTCTTAGTGTGGGCTAAGGGCTGGCGATAGAGGCAGAACAGATCCTGGGATATCTGTGAACCCACCTAACAGAATTGGAGCTAAAAATAATTGAGAGGCAACTCTATTCAGGAAAACAATATACTAAGTAGCTCACCCCATGGGTAAGTGACTGTGCTTTTGTCACTTTACCAGGAGGAATGATATAATGAATTTGAGAGAACTTCAATTATACTTTATAGAATATATGATATTTAATTTTATAAATAATTATAAAATATATAGCATATATATAGTATATAGCAACTATCAAAAGATATGGCCTAATTTTAATAGGAAATGTTCCATATCAAATAGTGTATGTAATATAATTTCATCCATAAATCAATATGTAATTTATATGGTAATTGAGAAAAACAGAAAAGTTATGGCTGATACACTGAGAAATAGCAATATAAGCAAATATTAAGAATTTTTAAAAGGGCAGAAAACAAAAAATAGAGGAGGGTAACTGGGGAAAGAGAAGACCTCTACTGTTAACCATTTTAGTTTTTGTAAAAAAATATCAGATATTACTGTATTACAAAAATAGGTATCATATAATTGGTAATATAGTATCCTGCAAAAGAAAAATGGTAATACAAAGGGACAATAAATGCTACCAGCCAGGTACAAAGAATAGGAGAAAGGAAAATATGTATAACCTATTCCAGAATCCTCTTCTTTGCCGATTCTTTTTTTCCACATCATTTTGGACTAAATGATCCATCTTTGTCATAAAACATCTAAAGAGATATTCATTTCTACAGCTTTAAACAACTATTGAGTCATACACACTCCAATCCACCCATATTTCATTTAAAGAAAGGGCAGTCTAAATTCACACCTCATTGGCAGGAGCTTACATTGGCATAACCTTTTCAGGGTATAATTTGGCAGTTCTCACTGAATTGTAAAATATGGCTACACTTTGAATGAACAGTTTCACTTTTCAAAATCTACTCTACAGAAATACTCCACAATGCTCAAAGGTAGGTATAGATGGTTTTCCATTAAGTCATGGCTTTTATAGTAGAGAAAAAGAAAAGTAACCTTAAATGCACCTTGGTAGATGCTAATCATTGTGTTGCCATTTGAAAAACAAAACAAATCTACCTTGGGGTATGGTTCCCTGACGAGGTTCCCATCATATATTACTAAGCAAGAAAAAGCAAGATATAGAACGACTATATATTTTTTGATACAGAGGATTCACACACATGCACTGTTACCAATCTAACTAGGTGTACTGCTATATGGGAATATTGCTCAAAGCTCAGAAAACCAGACTCTGACCCATGAAACTGTTTCCACGAAAGCTGCCTTTTATTGAGGGCAACACCATGGCAGATGGCAGCAGTTAGTATGCTAAAGAAATCACCTTGTGGAGTGGTGAGTAAAGGAAGGTACAGAATGCAAGGAAGTAAAGGGGGTAGGGGTGGTCTCTTCATGCTCAGGTCTGGGAGAGCCCCTACTGCCAGGGGCAGTCAGCACAGCATGATCAATGACCTTCCTGGAATAGCTCTTTTCTGTGTACCATGACCTGCCAATGGGGCCCTTCCTGGCGGTGCAAGGGGTTAAATCTCAGCACTATAAAACTATCTGCAGTCACAGGGCAACAGGGTCTCTACCCCATGCTGGGAGCTGACCCACATGGCTCAGCAGACCTCTCCTGTCTCCCAGCTGCTCCCCTCAGCAGTGCAATTCAGTACATCTGCCTGCTCTGCTCCCCACTCTGTCTCTGGTGACACTCTCACCCCCTGCACCTCTGATCTGTACCCCAGTTCCTGTATGCATAAATATGTCTTTTTTAAAAAATGACCTGCGGATGTTCATCATGCACTGATGTCATCAGCATCCTCAGAAGGAACAAAATATCCTGTTAAGCATTAAGCAAAATATGCTCTAAGGAATGTGACACAATTAACTAAAGTGCCAGGTTAAAGGTCAAGGCAAAAGTCAACAGTGTCTGTGACTCAGGCCATACCACAACTTTGGGCACTGTAGTGCATAGGGCGACACAGCTTTTACTTTGCTTATTTATCTGATTTTATTTTTACAACCAGCATGTATTGTTTCAGTATTTTAAGAAATCAAACCAGGCTTCAATTGCCAATTAGATAAGATTGGATTTAGAAAAATCCGAACAAAAACAATGTCTTTCCATTAGCTCATGTTCAAATCTGAGAAGTAAAAAATAATAATAAATTAATTTATTAAAAGCACAGTGGTTAGCTCGTTGCAGTCCACGTGTAGCAAAGAGGCTGGCTTCACTGGTTAGATCATTTTTTAGGGAAGGGTGTGAAGGAACAGAGTGTAAAAGTGTCTGTAGGCCCCACCCCTGAGCAGCCATCTTCAGGCTCCATCCTGTCTGCAGAAGCCCACTGCCTGGGGGTAAAGCCAGTCTCCACACTCACTGAAGTCCCAGGGGCCAGATAAAGACCTGTTCTGCAGGGCATTTAGTCAAAGGCAGAGATTACATCCTGCATCCCTGTTCCTGTCCTTAAATTGTCACAACAACTTAGAAGCAGAAGCCCACCTGTCAAGAATAATTATTCTTAATAGCAATGCCTCGCTGTGCCTACCTAAATAAACAAAACTCAAACTTGGTTTAGGGGACTGACTCTCACGGAGTACATTCTGCTGGACTGCTGCTTCCTGGGCCTGAATCCTGACTTTGATCGTCGAATAAACTGTACACCCAAGGGTATTTGCAGTTAACAGGGGCCAGAAAACCAGGGCACAAAAAACCCTTGAGTTAAGGAGTAAAAACCATGGGGTGGATGGAAAGTGTCACTGCCAGGGGCCTCGAGCAGGGAGGACACTCAGGGTGCAGCCCCGGAAACACAACACCAGGTTGGGAAGCACTGGGAGGCTCAAAGAGCCTACATCCAGGGATCCGTGAGCAGGAGTCAAGTTTGGCCAGAAGCGCAAGGTCAGCCCAGGAGACTGGACAAGCAGCCGGCAAGAGCCCGACCTACTAGCGGGCGGCCCAAGCGAATCTGAGCCCGGCTGGCGGGTTCCGGGGGCGCCCAGTACCTTCCCAGGCGAGCTCTCCTCCCGGCTCCCGCTTCAGGAACTTGTACCAGAAGGTGTCCACGCGGCCCGGCTCCGCCCCGTCCTGCGCCGCCCCCTCGGTCGCCAGCTCC